TTGGGAGTTTCAGCTGGGGCGTGTCAAGGATTCTTAGTCATAAATTTCATAGATCATTTTATTTGCTCAAAATAATCTCTTGGCAAGACATCGTACTTCCCTGCCCCTAAGGCATTGTTTGTAATAAAAGTCTGAAAATAACTATACCAGGCAACTTTGTTATTCAGTCTTCTTCTTCAACATGAAATGGAATTTCTTACAGTCTGTGTACTTCCTAATGTGCTGCTGCATCAAACTGCACAGAAGCTCGTGCAGAATAAGGGAATGACTAAATTCTTTCTTTTACTGCTCAGTTGTGAAGTTCATCCTTTGTCTAATCTTGTTAACTCTAGACCAAGTTCATAACACAGACTGTAATATAGATAGACTGCACTAATAGTTTTTGTGCAAATAGAAAAAAAGCAGAGCTACACATATTGCAATAACACAGAGAGGACATTGGAAATTACCAACCAGGTTTTTTATTTTATATTTCTCTGTCCCTTCTAGACATTCCATTTTAAGCAACTGGCCTTTAAGAAACTCCAGGCACACCACTTCCTAGCACAAAGTTAATCTTCCCTCTCATGAGCACATTACTGTTTATTCATCAATTCTCTTAGTTATTTTAAACACATATCTTTCAAGTTGTGTAATGACAGAACAGTCCTTTTTTAATATACAAGTTATTTGTTTTTTCTACCACATGACTACCAGCAACACCCAGCTATGTATTGCACAGATCTTTCAATGCCTTTTTTCCTGATGATTGGAAGATATTATGCAATATTAAGTAATTAACAGCATTTTTAAGAGTGTTCTACTGGATCTGGAAATAATTGATTGCTTCTGCCTAATTAAAAGAAGGAAAGAAGAGGATAAAGATTTGTACATGATATGGTATTTTGCTCAAGTGATGTTTCATGTTGTGGCAAAATGTGTATGTTCTGTCTTGTGCATAATCAGTCCTGCCTGATTGTGTAATATGAAATTAATGGAGACAAGAGATGCTCTGAGAGATGAACAAAAGTTAAATCTATTTTTCACTTTATCTGTGATTATGTGTGAGGAGTAAAAGCTCTGCAGCTGCCTGTTTACAACTCACAAAAACACACTGGGACACAGATTGCTAACGGATGTAAATGAACAGCTTTCTTTCACTTTAGAGGCTCAAAGGTCCCAGTATATAAATGTACAAACATGTACTTATGGTCACCTCTGCTGAATAAAACATCTAAAACGCATGTCCACAAGTATGTCCACAAGAATTCTAATGAAAACCAAGGAAACTCTACCATGTGCTTGAATTTGAATACATATTCTAATGATTCACTGACTAGAAATACTTCACTGAGGCAGAGACTAGATGCCTATATCTACTTTTCATCTGCTGCTTACAAAGGAAATACATGAAAAAGTCTTGTGATAGAGAATACTAGGGTCTCCCTCTTTTTCCTCTTTTTCCTTCACAGACAAAAGAAACCAACTTGGTTTTAATTTCAGGAATAGAGTTTGGGGGTATTTTTTGGCTCATGATGCAAATTCTAAATATTTCTTTAAAATAAATGCTTTCTCATTCTAGGAAAAAAAAGCCTTAAAAATTACAAATTAATTAAATTAAATTATTTAAAATTAAATTATTTTTCTGGTGAAAAATATGCTACTGGCATTACATTGGTACAAAATTATATGCAACCCTGCCAGAAAATTTTATCACTTAGTTAATCCCTTTAAAGTATATTCTTCTCTTTAAATTGTAGTACATTTTGCAAACCCCAAAATCTGACTCCTAATAAACAAATGTGCTGTACACCCACTACAATTTAGAAGAAATTAAAACATTTCTATTTTTTAAGGTGTAAGGGCTCAGCTCAATGAATTAGCTAACCATTAATCAGACTCTGCAATTTCCCACACTTTTTTTGGTATGGGAGAAGGTCTGATTTTGATGGAAGATCTTCAAAAACAAAAAGATACCAAATCAGCCTTGTGTATGCAGGCAGACTACAGCTGTAATTAGCACACAGAATATTCCTGCAAAATAAAAGAACACCAACAAGCAAGGTATTCAAGAATATATGCACCAAAGTAATTTTTTTACTCCAAATTAGACTAGACTAGAATGACTCTTGAACGAATGTAGAATGATTCTTTCACAGACATGGCACAGATATGCAAAACAGCAATGTCCTGAATTCCACCCAAGAGTGGAAGGGTTATGCCCTGCATTGAAATCCACACTCCTCCAAAAGGTATCTACCCGCCCTTGGTAGGCAATCATTAGCTTCCTTACTGTCAGGACAATAAATGTCAACAGAGGATAGCCCACAGAAAGTCATAAATTGTGCGATCCTTCTCATCTGACTTTAGTCACTGTCCTAGATTCAGCCAGGACAGGGTTAATTTTTTACAATGGCCATAAAGTGGGGGGGGCAGGCCCTCATGTCAGAGCCCCATTCAGCCTGGCCTTACAGAGATGGAATAAAGAATTTCATCCTAGTATCTCATCCTAGTATCTCATCTACTCTCTTTCAGTGCAAAGGCATTACCCTTTTTCCGACCCCTACACGCCCTTGTAAAAAGTTCCTCTCCAGCTCTCTTGTAGGCTCCCTTCAGGTAGTGAAAGGCCACAATAAAGTCAATCCAGAGCCTTCTACAGGCTGAACAATCCCAATTCTTTAAGCCTTTCCTTGTGGGAGAGGTGCTCCATCCCTCTACTCAACTTGGTGGCTTCCTCTGGACTAGCTCCATGTCCTTCCTGTCCTGGCCCCCCAGAGCTGGTGCAGCCCTGCAGGTGGGCTCTCAGCAGAGCAGAGCAGAGGGGCAGAATCCCCTCCTGGCCCTGCTGCCCACGCTGCTCTGGATGCAGCCCAGGACACGTTTGGCTCTCTGGGCTGGGAGTGCCCATGGCTGGGTCATGTCCAGCCTCTACCCACAGCACCCCCAAGTCCCTCTGGGCAGGCTGCTCCTGACCTGTTCATCCCCAGCCTGTGTTGGTACTGGGAGTTGCCTGACCTGGGTGCAGTACCCTGTACTTGGCCTTGTTTAACCTCATGAGATTTCCATCAACTGGTTCCTGAGCTTGTCCCGGTCCACATGGATGGTGTTCTATTCTTCAGGTGTGTCAACTCCACCACTCAGCTTGGTGTCATCTGCAAACTGGATGATCTTCCATCTATGTACCTGAGAAAGACATTAAATAGAACTGGTCCTAGAACTGACCCCTGAAGGACTCATGTCTATCAGGACTCTGAGCCCCCAGCCACCACCCACTGAATGTGACCATCCACCAATTCCTTATCCAGCAAACAGTTAACAGTTAAGCTGTTCTTTTTTGTACCATTATACTTACAGAAGCAAAATACTCTGTGATATGATACTGCATTCACTATGCTCTTCAGTTTTATGCTGAGAATACTGACTGCAAGAAGGGAGAAAAATTATCTCAACTAGCATAAAATGTTAAACCTGTCCAGGTTGGAGCAGTCCATGTATCTATCTTGCATGCTCTCTCTCTTGCTGATCTTTTAGGGTTTTTTTTACTGACATGGCTCTCATCATCAACATAATTTCTCTTCTCTCTCAGTTCTTTATCTTGAGATGGTTGAGGTTTTTCTTCTGTGAATCACTGTACAGTAAAAAGACCTACTTCAGATGGTATACTCTATCTTCTAAGTTAAAAAGGCAGACAATAGATTTGGCTTTGCCCTAATATACACAATTCTGCAGCTGTCTCTCATTCCTTGGGTCAAGAATTTCCCAGAGCATTTCCTAGGATAATCTGTAGTGCAGTAATTCCTCCTCATACATTAGCCAGCACAACTGTCTGATGCATTTTACACAGTTCAGAGTCCAACTCAGTCACTGCTCACTCCAGTTTTCCCTCGCCACACACGCAATTGCCTGACTAGGTCTTTCTCGTTCACTGACACTCCACTTCCCACGGGAGCACATGCCAAGCACACAAAGGCCAGGGAATGCAGAGGAATTAACCATTTTTGGAATTTGATTACCTCAAAGCTGTTTCACACGCCCAAGTCACTTTTAGTCATTCAGAATATGAAATTATGCAAGGAACCTACCTTTTAACCTTTAGATTTCCTGTTACCTGGAATTCATATTACACGGGAAATTCTTAGCTGAAGTAGTGTTAGTCATTTTATTAATTAAACAAATCTGCTATGGGAGAGTCTCAGCTGCACTACAACGATAGTAATTTCATTCCTAAGGCAAATTTGTTTGAGGGTCATCCCCACGAACATTTCTCCAGTGACAAGGAGATGTGGAAAGGAGACAGCAGGTCCTACTGCTCCAGCCTGCCGGCTTCTGTCCTCTCTGCCCCCACGGGAACCGGCTCCACCAAGGCCGGGCAAGACGGGCTAGTGAGAATTGCCCTTATTCCCCTTTTGTGAACCCAGTGTCCTGAGCGCTGTGTGTTGGAACCAGCGGGCAGGCAGAGAAAGTCTCACTAAGTGAACATTCAGTGGAGGATGCTTTCAGTAGCGCCTCGGCACAGCCGGCGGCAGCGGCGTCTGGGCGCACCGCTCCTCCAGGGCCCGCCGCGTGCCGGCGGCGGGACGTGCCCCCCGCGCCCTCGCTGCGGTGCGCGCGGCCGGAGAGCGGGGCCGGGACGCCGGGCGGGCGGCGGGCGGCGGGCGCGGGGCCAGGCGGGCTCCGGCCGGCGGAGGGAGCGCGGGCCCGGCGGGCCCGGGCGGGTCCCGCTGCCGGCGGGGAAGGCGCCGGGAGCCGGGCGGCGCGCGGGGCCGCGGGCAGCGCGGGAGGCCCCGGGGGCCCAGCGCCCCCTCGCGGCGCGGCCGGGCGCAGCGGCTCCCCCGGCCCGCGGGGCACGCCCGCCCCCGCCCCCCGGCCCCTGCGGAAAGTTGTCCCTGGCCCCGGAGCCGCCCGGCTCCCGCCTCCCGCTTCCTGCCCCGCCGCCGCCGATTGGCCCGCCGTGCGCCCAGGAATGCGAGCCATCCCTTTATAGCCGGGCGCGGCGGCCGGCGCCCGCAGAGTCCCGGCAGCGCCGCTCCCGCTGCCCGCCGCTCGCCCTCCCGCGCCGGGACGGTCGGGGCTGCCCGCGGATATTGCTCGCCGGTACCCAGAGGCCGGCGCGGACCGCCCGGATCGCTCTTGCCGGAGGTAAGTGCCGAAGCGGCTCCCGCCGCTCTCGCTGTCCCGTCCGAGGGGGGCCGGGGACACCTGCCCCGTCCCCGCTGCGCAACGTCCCGCCTGCGGGAGCCTCGCCGGCGCCGGTCGTGGGTGCGACGGCAGCGCGGTGACCTTCCTCGTGTGTGTCCCCAGGCTGGTTCAGAGACAGACCTTTGCCATGGGGCCAGCGACTGCTCTCTGCCTCCTTCTCCTCGTGCTCGGCGGCTCAGAGACCAAGCGCACTGCAGGTAAGGCCGGCTCTGCGCTGGTACCGGGGCAAGAAGAAATAACTTTGGTGCCTGTGTAGGCAGATGAAGTTGTGCTCGGTGGTAAAGAGCTCCAAAGCTCTCAATGAACAAAAACGTTTTAACCTGAGCATGAGCTAGCTGGGAACAGAAAACTTCTCTCTGGTGTGGAATTTGTGTAACCTTCAGAAGTAGGAACGCAGAGTCTCCAGAATTTGAGCATGTAGCTTGTCTACCTCTGCGCTGAGCAGAAGAAAGGAGGAACATGATGTAGGAACTGCCTGAAGAAGGAATGAGGTAGTAGGCTGCCGTTTTGGTGCTATAGAGAAGCTGCTGCTGTGCTGCTGTCACTCAGCCTGGATTGTGCAAACTCACTTTGCCATGTCCCAGCATAGGAATAATGCAGATTGGGTTTTGCTGTCTATTTCTGTGCTGCTGGAGTGTAATGAGGTGCCAGAATGGCTGCTACCTTTGTGTGTCAGTCAGCGGGTACCTGGCACTCCTGTGCTGACTGGCTCCCGTACAAGAATGCACATGTACTGCTGCACAGCAGCTCCTGGTGGGACTGCTGCACCATCAGACCTAACTGTCTGTGCTCTGATGTGAGGCACTGTGCCCTGCACGATGTGCGCCAGGAGCCAAAACGTTAAGTAATCCTGGGAAACTTGCACCTACTCAGCCTCTTGTCCTTTTCTCATGATGCTTATCCTGATCTCTCTCTGCAGAATCCAGGAATGATGATAATAGCGTCTTTGATCTGTTTGAGCTCATTGGCTTCATGCGGAAGGGAGCGGGGCGCCGGGCCCCCGGGGTGTACCTGGTGAAGGGGCCAGAATCCTCCAGCCCTGCTTACCGCATTGAAGATGCCAGTCGCATCCCTGCTGTCCCTGACACAAAGTTCCAAGACTTATTAGATGCCATCCATGCTGAGAAGGGCTTCATTCTCCTGGCCACTCTCCGACAAGCCAAGAAGAGCAGAGGCACACTGCTGTCTGTGGAAAAGAATGATGGCTCTGGTCATGTCTTCAGTCTAGTATCAAATGGCAAGGCAGGCTCCCTGGACCTGAGCCTTTCTGTTGACGGCAAGCAGCAGTTAGTGTCAGTAGAGGATGTCTTGCTAGCTACAGGACATTGGAAGAATATCACCCTGTTTGTGCAGGAGGACCGAGCTCAGCTCTATGTGGGGTGTGAGAAAATGGAAAACGCTGAACTGGACATCCCCATCCAGAACATCTTCACTAGGGACCTAGCCAGCAGTGCCAGGCTCCATATTGCCAAAGGGGGAGTCAATGACAACTTCCAGGTAAGACTTTCACTTATGATTTTGCCTAGAATTTTCAGTCATCTGTTTTGAAGGTGCATTAGCTACTCAACAAGCCTACATAGCAGCAAAGACGTCTAAATCTCCTAAACTTTACTAATGGAATTTGAAGGGTGAAGCATTAGATTTGTGGGGATGGAACTTCCTGCAGCAATGAGAAGGCACTGAAGTTTCCAGACAGGTAGTTGCAGCTTCATTGCTTAGCTTCTTATATGAGATTCAGAAATCCATGGGTATTTTCCTTCCTGCCTGGAGAGTTGCCAAGTCCTTATGCTCAAGGATAAGACCGTTAGGAAGCAGGGCTGGTTTTCATTAAGGAGAATAGAGCAATGTGTTTCACTTTTCCATCTGTCTGTCATGAAATTGCTCTGTAAGATCTTGCATGACCTTCAGTCTGTCCAAGTGCAAGTGGTTCTTCCCCTTGCAGTTGCTGCAAGTAGTTGTAATTCTTTCTCTGTCCACAGGGTCTGCTGCAGAATGTGCGGTTTGTGTTTGGAACAACTCTGGAAACTATCCTGCGGAACAAAGGCTGCTCCAGTTGTAAGTTTACAATCTTCTGAGTCCAATGACCTATTAAAAATAAGATTTCTCATTACTTTAGAAAGACAAGTTGAAACAGAACTCAGAAGTATGCTGACATGCAAATCCACATTGCATAAGAAATAAGATTATATTTCTGCAGGCACCCTAATGAATCTAGTGGCAGCTGTTTAGCAGGTGTTAGCCTGGAATGATAAATGCACGTCATATAAAATGCATTTACTTCACCTCTGTTTTTTTCTCTTAGCCACTAGTGCAGTCATTACTTTGGACAACCCCATCAATGGTTCCAGCCCAGCTATCCGCACTAATTACATTGGCCATAAAACAAAGGACATCCAAGCAGTCTGTGGATTTTCCTGTGATGAACTAACAAATATGTTTGTGGAACTGCAAGGGCTACGGTCCATGGTTACAACACTTCAAGACAGAGTTCGAAAAGTGGTAAGTGGTGGTCAACTTCATGGTACCTTTCATTAACTAGCACTTAGTGAATTAATTATAACCTGGCTTTTGAGAGGCTATGTAAACAGCAAAATATTTTTACTTTGACTTTTGTGAAAAAGGGTATTTCTATATTAATCCTAAATATCTTCTTTTTGCTTCTGTCCCTCAAGACTGAAGAAAATGAAATCATTGCCAAAGTAGTCCAGATCACTCCTGGAGCATGCATTCATAATGGAGTCTTGCACAAAAATAAAGAGGAGTGGACTATTGACAGCTGCACTGAATGTACTTGCCAGGTAAGATTCCTCACATTCACAAATCACCTGAATATAAACTCATAAGGCGGAATTAATAGATAGTTCTAAACAGCAATGTTTGTTAGAAAGAGTGAATCATATACAGAACTAGGCATACTAGAGAAGCCATAGAATTAATCAGTTTATTTCATTCTACTAGATCTCTGATATAAAGGCAGGTTCCCTACCTTGTCCAAACAGCAATATTCTAGAAAATTATATGAGACGCTGAAATTATATGTATCACTCTGATACAGCCATTAAGAGTTTTAGTTCATTAATTTGGGGAATGCCTGTATTCTTTACATAAGTCCATCAGTAAACTAAGTCAGTATCAACACAACAAATGTATAGTACTATCAGCTTTTCTAGGTTTGCCTTCTGTCCTCACTAAACCTCTTGCTGACTTAGTAGAAAATGACATTTGGTCAAAAATTACTTGGTAAAGAGACTTATGATGTTTTCTTTATCTAGAAAATGCTTCTAGGTGTGTCCTATTAGCTTTTATAGATTATATGGAACAATGATCCCTTTTGGATTTCAGTTGTTTAATATCCCTGAATCACCTGGCAAGATATTGAAGCTTTGTGTTTCACTTCTGCTGAATGCTGTAAATACATACAAAATGTACAGTTTCAGGGTTTCTTTAACTTATTTGCTTGTTCCATTTAAGTATACCTTAGCAAAAGCATTTTGGGGTACCAGTCTACAAAGAGTGGGTTAATTAGCATGCCACTCTTTAGAAACTAAAAGTCAGGTATTTGTATATGTGCAATACAAGGCAACTCAAATTCTGTGTCTGCTTCTTTAGCTCTCTGTCTTTTGTCTTGTAGTCAGCACATGGTATTGTGACTTTTGCATTTGCCTCGTTCCTACCAATCTGTTTACTCAATGTTAGCTGTAATTGCCTTAATCTAATAATTTGCTTGGGGAGATTAAAATAGTAATCATGAGAGCATTCTTCTGACCAAGGTGCTACCTTCAAGAAGCAAAACTACAGACTGCCCTTTAACTCTTATTGAGATTGGGGGTGGGTGTTCTTACCCTGCGTGTTTGGCTTAGAGATGAAAAACCTCTAATTATAAGTTAGAGATTGCATGGCACTTGAGCAGAGTCCACTAAACTCATTTTTTCTTTACCATATAATCAGCTTAAATCCATATTAACTGAAGAGAAAATTGGCTTTTCATTCTTATTTCATTTCTTTGAAATCTGACCTTGTACTTTGGGTATCACATAATAGTCATTTACTTGAGCCAGCATATGCTAGTACTACCGATAAACTTCTGCAGAACGAAAATATTTCTGCTTTTGACTAAAAAATAATGGGTGAGAATGGAAATGAGATGAAGTTTGACTGAAAATACCTGGGACTACCCATTGGGTGGTATTTTAGCTCTAAATACAAGGGTCTCTGCTTTAGATATGCTACTGAATCTTAAAGTTCTGCAGAAAAAGTCCCTATTATTTACTTAGACTCCAAACATTGTTTATATTCCACGTGATAACTGTAATTCTCACAACTCTTTATAGAACTCTGCCACCATATGCCGGAAAGTGTCCTGTCCTCTCATGCCTTGTTCCAATGCCACTGTGCCTGATGGGGAGTGCTGCCCTCGGTGCTGGCGTAAGTACTTAATACTTTCACAGTCCTGTAGCAGTTGGCCACATCTAACTAGACCCATGCTGCTCTGCAGTATATCAGAACTGGGTATCCTATGGTAACCTTGTATTTCTGAAGTAGGTTAATCTGATGTGTCTTTGAGGCTAATCACTTATGTGATCCATGTTCAGATATTTTCTACAATATGCAACATATTGAAATGTTTGAGTTCATGGCCTTTATCTTATACAAAGAAGGAAGATGCATATATGGCTTCTGAGAACAGTTGTGTCCATTTTTGTGGAGAGAGAGGTGAGAGAAAAGATACGGAAAAGCATTTGTCTGGAGTCTTATTCAGAGCTGTATCCCTCTGCAGCTAGCGACTATGCAGACGATGGATGGTCTCCTTGGTCTGAATGGACCTCGTGTTCCGTGACCTGTGGTAATGGGATTCAGCAGAGAGGCCGTTCCTGTGACAGTCTCAATAACCGCTGCGAAGGCTCCTCTGTACAGACTCGGACTTGCCACCTTCAGGAGTGTGATAAGAGATGTAAGTACTTAATCTACTCTTGCTGGTAGTAAAACAGAGGCTGCTTTTATTGGCTGAATGTTAAAAAACAAGGATTACCAGGTAGCTCTGCCACTGGCATGGATCCTTGGCTTCTAGCTTTAAGGACTTGTATTAACAAGATGGAGGGGAGCAGATAGTTAATGCAGTAAACAGGCATGTTTGGGCACTGCTCCCAGGACGAAATGTGATGCCAGTTTAGGTATGAAATTTCCCTAGTTGCAAAACTTGATCTGTGACAGTCAGGAGGCTATCCTTTACACATGGAGTCTTTGGTCCTGGTACTGGCTGTGTCCTGGGTGCTGTACAGCTGAAGTCTTCAGAAATTATGAATAACAGAAATCTCTCTTGTAGTTAAACAGGATGGTGGCTGGAGTCACTGGTCGCCATGGTCATCATGTTCTGTCACTTGCGGCACGGGCATCATTACTAGAATTCGTCTTTGCAACTCTCCAGTACCACAGCTGAATGGCAAACCTTGTGAGGGTGAAGCAAGAGAAAACAAAGCCTGCCAGAAAGATCCTTGCCCAAGTAAGTGTGTCCTGGTGGTAACTAGTAATTGGTAGCTTAAATAGTTAACATCCAGGGTAGTTACTAAGTAAGCTTGTTATAGTATTCTTCTCTCTTTAAACTTAGAGGTGGGCTATGTAAAACCTCACAGGTTAGTTTCAGATGAAACTATTTTTATGCCTCTTCCATGGAGTCCATTAATTCTGTCATTTATGTCAGAGCAATGTCTGAACTGCTCTCCCTACAAAAGTAAAGTCCTTAGTCAGGTTGAAACTAGTTGTAGCACTGAATTTAAAGCTATACATGTTTTCTCTCTTCTTCTCCCTTAAGTTAATGGCAACTGGGGACCATGGTCTCCATGGGATGCTTGCACAGTGACATGTGGAGGAGGACTTCAGAAACGAAGCCGTCTCTGCAATAATCCTGAGCCTCAGTATGGTGGGAAGACTTGTGTAGGTGAAGCTAGAGGGACTCAGGTCTGCAACAAACAGGACTGTCCAATTGGTGAGTATCCATTTGCCCATAAACCTCTGAAGGTTGTTGATAATATTGAAAATGCCAGTGTAAAGTCTGCAAAACCTCAAGTGCTATAATTTTAAACCAGGATATCAGCCAAATACACTACTGTAACAGCACGGTAAAGTGTCCTTTATCATAACATTTCCTCACTTGTTTCACAGATGGGTGTCTGTCTAATCCCTGCTTTGCTGGGGCTACGTGCACCAGTGCCCCTGATGGTTCCTGGAAGTGTGGTGCCTGTCCTGCTGGCTACCATGGTGATGGTATTCACTGCCAAGATATTGATGAGGTAAGAAGACTATAGTTTGCTCCTTGAAAAGGAAGAAGAGAAAACAGAAAGGGAGAATAAGAATCACTGTTTAATAATGCTAACTGTTGTTCTCCTTTATCTCAAACTCATATTTCAGTGCAAAGAGGTTCCTGATGCCTGCTTTGTCTTCAATGGAGTGCACAGGTGTGAGAATACTGAACCTGGGTACAACTGTCTGCCTTGCCCACCACGTTTCACTGGAACACAGCCATTTGGCCGCAGTGTTGAGGATGCCATGAGTAACAAACAGGTATTGTCAATTTGAGAATTGTTCTAAGTTACAAAGTTTCACAAAAAACAGAAAACACCTATGTGTTCTAGGCAAAAAAAAAAACTTGGAGCATTTAATAAAACACCATCTTCTGTGATTCAGAACAGAAGAAGCATTAACCAGCATTAATTCTTTTGAAGATCAAAATGAGTTTTAAATATCATTGTCCTCCTCAGCCATGGAGGGTTCAGAGGTTACACATAATTTTAGGAGTAACTCAGGAGTAAATCAGTAGTCACTAATGATACAACAGTATGTGCCTCAGGTATCCTAATGCTTTGTTCCATTTGATAATACATAAGGTTTGAACAAGAAAAATAATTAGTGCTAAGACTGGTACTGGAGTTGAGGACCAGAAGAAAGCCATGTATGAGACTTTTTTTGCCTGATTGATTAGGATGTATTTGAATCTTTGGGGAAAAAGTGAAGGATAAAGCAATGTTTTCAATGGATTTAATTTCTGTGTGGTCTTCTAGGTCTGCAAGCCACGTAATCCATGCACAGATGGAACACATGACTGCAACAAGAATGCCAAATGCAATTACCTTGGCCACTTTAGTGACCCCATGTATCGCTGTGAATGTAAACCAGGCTATGCTGGCAATGGCATAATCTGTGGAGAAGATACTGACTTGGATGGATGGCCAAATGAGAACCTGGTTTGTGTTGCCAATGCTACTTACCACTGTAAAAAGGTAAGTTTATCCTCTTTTACCATCTGCCATTCTAACAGCCTAAGCTATTAAACTATGCTCTCTGCAAGAAAACCTTCTAGGGATCAAGGAGGTGTAGGGATGTAGGGATGTAGGGATTGTCAAGGCATTGCTAGGAGGCTCTTGCTGTTGCTGTATTGCTTTATATATTCTTGTGATATGGGAAAAAATGAAGCCTGATTATTGTAAATGTTCTAGGAAGATTCTAATTTAGACCATACCTATATCAGTTTTGTTCTGATAGCACTCTCCAAGGGAAGAGTGAGCAGCAGGGTAAGATTCTCAAAAGCAATCCAATCTTTATTTTAAAATTATTTAACTGTGGCTTTCTAAGACTTCTCACTTTAATGACTAGCTTAAATTGAGAGAATTACAGTAGGGTTACTCCTACCTGATTGAGGTGTTACAATTTTGCCTAATGATTAGATTTTACCTGCTCAAATCCATATTGTAATAATACCAGGAGTGAACATGTCTGTGTACTTTTTTCCTTGTAGGATAACTGCCCTAATCTGCCTAACTCAGGGCAGGAAGACTATGATAAGGATGGGATTGGTGATGCCTGTGACAGTGATGATGATGACGATGGCATTCCTGATGACCGGGTAAGGAAACAGAAAAGAACAGCCATTGAGAATGTGGCTTTCCCACTTCCCTTCCCAAAGCTGGACTCTAGCTTCTGACATTCATCTTAAGAGAGGATCATAGGAAATTGTTGGCACTGACAGCTATCCTAGAAACCTTAGATATGCATAACTGTGCAGACAAACTTTCTGCAGCTGTTTGAGCTTTGGAAATGACATTTCGTTTTTCATTCAGCCATTCATACACTTGTGCCAGCAACGGGGTGTTTGAGATAGTAGCATCTGAGTTTTATCTGTTTCCCCTCCTTTCCTTTCTTCTTTCATAAAGCAGTACAAACATAAGCAGAATCTGGTTAAAGCTTTAATTTGACTCTTTTTAAAACTTGACTTTCCTCACTTTTGCAGGACAACTGTCCATTCATCTACAACCCACAGCAGTATGACTACGACAGGGATGATGTTGGTGACCGCTGTGACAACTGTCCCTACAATCACAACCCTGATCAAACTGACACTGACAACAATGGAGAAGGAGATGCATGTGCAATAGATATTGATGGAGATGGTAGGTTGCCTCTGATCACTCCTTTAGATGGTTTTCAGCCATGAATCAAATCAACCCAATGTAATTCTGATTTCCTAGCAGAATTTCATCCCTGAATGTACCAAAGTTCTCTTGTGGTGGTTTCAGGATGTGAAGGCTACTGAAAGAGCAGTTAGGGTTAATGGAAATTCACTTTGGAATTTATACGTTTTGTCACAGTTAAATTCTATCTCCACTCTCACAAGGCAATAGAGCAGAAGTGTATTACAGAGCTAGTGATGAGTCATGTTTCAAAGCTTTCAAATAATGCTCAAAATATTTTAAAAAAGGTATCAAGAAGTATGTGGTGGCTTTATACAGGCCTTTGCAGCATTTAGATGTCTGATTTTCATTAATGAACTTTTACAGGGGTGCTTAATGAAAGGGACAACTGCCAGTATGTGTACAATGTAGACCAGAGGGATACAGACTTGGATGGTGTTGGAGATCAGTGTGATAACTGTCCACTGGAACACAACCCTGACCAGGTAAGGGATTTGAATTATATAAACAGAGTGTGCTAAAAATACAGTATGTTGTGTGTTGTAGAACATATTTTAACAGGTTACACCGGAAATTTGACTTGTCACAAGTCATTCTTACCACTTTCCCATTTGGTGCCTTTATCAAATAACATGCCCTGTTTGAACAGCTGCTAGGTATTTTCTGAAAAGTAGCTGTAGTGAATATCTGTAAGACTACTGCATGTGCTGGTTGCCTAAACATTTCTTAGGTTTGTCAGTTGTGGTGATCCTCACAGAGAGAATATGAAATACTTTGGGAACATTGTGCAAAATGTGGGTAGTGGAACTACTCTCTTCATAGCCCATAGTGCTGTGTTCACTTAGACACAAAGCTGTTCTTTAAACTTTGTCCCTAAACTTGAAGCCAACTGCATTTCAGAAGATAACTTTTCTAGCAGTAAGTAGAAGACAGCTCAAGTTGCTTTTCTCTAAGAAAAAGGCATATTATGACACTTGTAAAATTCACCTTCATAAAAATCCAGGGGGATCCAGATTCTCACACAACTTACTGGTTCAAAAACTGAAGGCAGAAGTAGATAAAGCCTGTGACATCCTGTCAGTTAAAAGACTGTTTAATAGCTTTAGGGACATAACTGGAATGCTTAAAGGGTTAGAAAAGCAGATGCAAATCACTGGAATGTAGCCTAAAAGCAGTGTTACTTGAAGGATTTAAACAGATAATATAAAGTGACTTAGTCATTGTCACTTGCTTTCCTACTTCCTCACTTGAGGGAAGGAATCACCCGAAGATCCTTTGAGGCAGCTGCTTTCAGGAAGATCCTTTCTCTTGTGACTTTGAAATTTTAATACAAGACTCTAACAGCTTTTCAAACACTATCCTAATCAAGTTCTAGAAGTGAAGATACTGGATTTCAAGTGCAAGAATTAGTAGCTAATCCAACAGTGTATGATATGCCTTCTGTCTACACCAGGGTCACCCACCTGTGTTCACAAGACTACTAGGCTAAATGTGGGGCAACCTCAGAGGTGATAGGATTGTTTTCCTTAGTTCAGGACCCGATTATGCAAATGACTGGCTAAAATATGTGATCAGCAATCACACTAGTTAGTTAACGCAGTCTGTCACCACCATGGGAACAATTGTCTTGACTGATGAATTGGAGGCACAAAGAGCATTTATGATAGAGAAAATTAAGCTGTGTTTGTAGAGGATGTAACACCAAGCATTGGTAGACTGTTCTAATGTTACAGTCTCTACTGACTAAGTACAGAGTAATCCAACCCTGATTTGGCCCTTGAAACCGCATTGCTGCCAGGGAAGGGAGGAGATAAAGTACCCTGCATCCTGTATGGTAGACTAGTGACAGAAGAGGTATCAAAGGCTCAAGATAGCTGACAATCACACTGCTTTCTGATACTGTGAATTCAAATTAAAACCAGAACAAGTCTAAAGTAGCATAAAACCAGTTAGCACAGGCAGTTTTAAGTGTGTATTAATCCACCCATTATATCCATTTTAGCTTTTGATAAAGCAAGCAGAAATCCTAATTAATTCTATATTAAGACTCCTATTTCAGAGACTCCTATCTCAGCCTTCTTTAAGTGGCCTTTTAAAATGTTTTTGTTCTCTCCTCTGATAGGAAGACACAGATTCTGATCGCATAGGTGATCAGTGTGACAACAACCAGGACATAGATGAAGATGGTCATCAAAATAACCTTGATAACTGCCCCTATGTGCCCAATGCCAATCAAGCTGACCATGACAAGGATGGAAAAGGTGATGCCTGTGACCATGATGATGACAATGATGGTATCCCTGATGACAAAGATAACTGCAGATTGGTTGCCAACCCAGATCAAGCTGATTCTGATGGTAAGAGAGCCAGTATCATAATAATGTTTTGTTTCTTCCAATAGTTTGATGCTATTTTTTTCACACTATTTAATGTTGGACAAAACTAAGTAACAAAAATACAGAATGTCTGTACCAGAAAAAAAAACCCAGAATGTTGCTATAGTGCTTCTCAGGAGTAAAGATCAATGTAAAAATGATCACATATCCAACTTACTCCTAAGTCACTATCAGGCTGGAGTGAAAGGGCATTTATACAGTAGCTGCTGCGGTTTCTGTCATGTGTCTGCCAAGTACCTGGGCAGTCAGAGATCTGCAATTCAGACTTTAATTTCCAAGCTGTAAGACTCAGAAGCAAATAGCGTTGGTAATAAAATAATAAAATTACTTTTATCATATAGGTGATGGACGTGGAGATGCTTGCAAAGATGACTTTGACCAAGACAGTGTGCCAGACATTGATGATATCTGCCCTGAAAATGTGGAAATTAGTGAGACTGATTTCCGAAAATTTCAGATGATTCCTCTGGATCCCAAAGGAACATCCCAAAATGATCCAAACTGGGTTGTTCGTCACCAGGGTAAAGAACTGGTTCAGACAGTCAACTGTGACCCTGGCCTTGCAGTCGGTAAGGGGAAAAATTTAACATTCAAATTTAATTTGGGGTGGTTTGATTTTTTTGTTGTTGTTGGTTGGTTGGTTGGTTGGTTGTGGGGGTGGGGGGTTGTTTTGTTGGTTTTTTCAGTTGTGGTGAGAGAGAGGAAGAGAACTTGAGTAACTATTAAAAAGTTGTTTAAGAATTGTAAAAAAGTAGTAGCATCTAAAACTTTATTCTTTAATGTCCCCATAGGTTTTGATGAATTCAATGCTGTGGACTTCAGTGGTACCTTCTTTATCAATACAGAAAGGGATGATGATTATGCTGGCTTTGTTTTTGGCTACCAATCTAGCAGTCGTTTCTATGTTGTCATGTGGAAGCAGATCACCCAGTCTTACTGGGACTCCACACCAACCAAAGCTCAAGGCTATTCAGGTCTCTCCATTAAAGTTGTGAATTCCACCACTGGTCCAGGAGAACACCTTCGTAATGCTCTGTGGCACACAGGAAACACTCCTGGCCAGGTAAGAGTGGTAAGAGCTTACTACATGCTGAAGTATTCTTAATGTGATAACATGAGTACTCCAGTGTGATAACTCTTCTGCATAAGGCAGGCTGTTCTTCCAGCAAATTAGACACTTAGAGGGGGTCTGCACATGCTGATCATGTAGGCTTCTTGGCAAAGACCAATAACTTTGTAATTTTTCCTAATCAAGTAAAATATTATATACAATTAACAGGGTTGCTTACTGCAGACAGGCTTTCTGGCAGCAGTGAATCAATTGTTAGTGGAATTGTGCTGTATCTTCCAATTTACATATTTTAAAAGTAGATTTAAGTGCAGTTGATTTCTATTATTTCTATATTTAGGCTATTAAGAGCCTAATGACTTACTTTAATTATGAGGCACCTTCATGTCAAAATAACTTGTGTTATCTCTGGCCTTTGGTTGATAAAAAAACATTCTTTCACAGGTGAGAACTTTGTGGCATGATCCTCGTCACATAGGCTGGAAAGACTTCACTGCATATAGATGGCGACTTAGCCATAGACCAAAGACCGGCTACATCAGGTGAGCATCATCCTTTTATCTGAAGCAAATATCACAGGAAAAGTGGATGTCAGTGGAGAAGAACCTCACAGGACCTTGTCAAAGATGACTGAGCTATTGTTTCTTTGTAGGGTTGTAATGTATGAAGGGAAGAAAATCATGGCAGACTCAGGACCGATCTACGATAAAACCTATGCTGGTGGTCGGCTAGGATTATTTGTCTTCTCTCAAGAAATGGTGTTCTTCTCAGACCTTAAATATGAATGCAGAGGTAAGGATAACATTGCAGTTAAGAGATCCCATATAAATGAATTGGTTCAAGAACTTAATACATAGGAGCCAAAAGGAAAACTGTGATCATTCATGGTTCAGGTTTGAACAAGTTCTGCAGGCAGAAACAGGACACTTGGTAAACTCTTCACAGTAAAAAATATAAATATATAAAATCTAAGTGTATTTCTATTGTGATATTTCAAAGTATCAGAAATCCATGTTGAGTTCCAGAAATGAAATACATCTTGACTCTTCTTTAAAGTGCTGACTAGAATGAATGAGCACATCTGACAAAATCTAAGGTAGAAATGCAATATATTGACTTTAGCAAGTAAAGAGCTGATTTGTTTAAAAGTAAGCAAAGTAGAAGGTTGTCCATGTATTGCAGTCTTGAAGTTTAGTAGAGGTAACTAGTTCCAGCTGTCCTAATCCTCTGAAATTGTCACTTCATTATGAAATGGTTACATAGATTAGATTAAGAAGTCTAACTCAAGGAAGCACCTAATTGAAAGTACTTTCCATTTGCTCTATAAATGTCTCTGGGCATTAATGACTTGGACATAATCATGCATAATACACATAAATATTTAAATATTGTCTTTTCCTTTTTTCACAGATTCATAATCACAAGATTGTTGGAATCAGAGACTATTTAAAAATGCTGGTAATTGCACCTTTTGAAACGTTTAGCCTTACAAATCCTGGGACCATTATATTATTCCTTCCTTTCTTCTTTCTGCGTAAATGTGGACTCGAAACACATGACCTGCCTCAAGAGAATGCTTTTGAGAGAATGAAAGTGAGAACATACTTGGTATCTGACCTCTGCTGAAGTGGAAGGAAACAAATGTGTCTTGCAAATGAGAATTGTCATCACTGAACAAGCACACTTCTTTCAGTAGGAAAGACATTTGTTTGCTGTTTATCACAGTGCAGTGTCACTGCCTCTCTAACTGGAGGTCCCATGGAGTAGCATTTTGTAAAAGAACATCTTTGGATGTGCTGTGGACTACTTAAACTGAAGACCTTTCATTGTGTGGGGAAGAGGGAGTTTGGGTGGGAGGGGGAACTCTAGGTCTTTCTTTATGGGGTAGAGGATTTTTTTTAAGGAAGGCTGTGCTACTTTGGTTTACATCCATTTAACTTGGAGAAATTGTTTTCTATGTCACACCTTTCAGATAAAAACATAGCCTTACTCTGTGGTGAGCTAGATCAGCTGCTGTACTACACAGGACAAAGCAGATATCCTAAAATGATTTCTGTCATGGCAGGAGGGAAAGAGGATAAAAACTGGTACATTCAATCACACCAGATTTGGGAGAACTGGGATTTATGATTAGGTTCTGTTTTTTCCTGATGTAGATGCAGGTCTTGCTTACCTTCAAATGTGTTCTTTCAGATATGGTGCCAGAAAGCACCACCATCTCAGCTAGCACTGTGCTATCCTTCCGGAAACCAGCACATGCTTCACTTTTTATGGTTAAAGAGGCACAAAAATAATGTAATGAAAACATTCCTTTTCTACATGCCATAGATATTTTAAACCCCTCGCTTCTTTAGAGGGGAGGAAATGGGGCCTGTAGATAAAATTGTAAAATATTTATTTTTGCCTATTCTTGATGTTATAATGACTGAGGGATTATTGATTAAAACAACAAGAGATGCGTCAAGACTATCCACCTAATCATTGTTACAAGTCTTCATGACTGTAAGATTGTAAATACAGATTATTTATTGTCTCTGTTCTATACTGAAACTAGAGAGGGTTTAGTTGAGAAAAAGAGTCTTGTCTTGAGCAGATAGTGGTAATGTATATGTTACAAAGAGCAATTTTCGTATAAAGGCTTTGAGGTGCAAGGAAAAGTGAGGATGTGGGCAATGGGATGTTTGTTTTTCTCAGTCTGAGCTCAGTGTTGGCTTTTCCTTTCTTTGTGCAAGGCAGTTGATAACCTGGCAGACAACTGTTCTGCAATGCTAAAATTCAAGTCCCTTGAGATAGTAACAGTTTCTGTCCCATCCACAGCACTAGAGGTGAGGGAATGCCAGTCACCCTCTTAGCATGCTCAAGTGCTGGGAAATGTCTGTGATGCTTTACCTCTGGAGAGCTGCCCTGAGGAGGTTGCAGCGGGAGGCACGAGGACAGCCCTCACTAACCATGTAATGGGCTCTTTGGGCCACTGCAAGCTCCCTTGGGAACTAGTGACGTGCAGCTACAAAAGAAGGAATTCATCACAGACTAGGCAATTTCAGGAACTCCTTGCAAATGAGGGAGAGGCCTTGATGTACATTAAAAGACTGTTTTCCCCAACAGAAGGGGCAGCATCCTTATACCTATAATATTTCCTTGTCTTTTCAAAAAACAAAAAGAAATGAACACGGTGAAAGTTTTACGTACAAATATTACCTCATTGTTGTGTGACTGAGAAAAACCTTTGAAGCAGCAGAGTTCAAATGTCTAACAAACTTTAAAGCTACTGTAGTACTAAAAAGTTAATGCTGTACATAGTAAAAATTTCTTTGCAGAAAATGTATTCCCAGAAAGGAAATGGCATTGGAAAAAAAAAAGTCAAATACAATTTCTAATGTTGTATTATATTTTTTCCTGTCATCTTGTATACCATTGCTTGTATTTTTATAAATTATTTTTCTCGTTGCCATTGTAATAGTTAATCACATAATTGTGTAGATAGGCTATTTAAATAATTTATCATGAAATGCTACCTGTAGAGTTAGTATTTCTATTTTTATAAAAAGTTTGCACACTGAAGATTTTTTTGCTTCCCTCCTCCCCCTGTTTTTGCTAGCATAATTTTATAAGAACATGCTTTTTTTGTAAACATTTTTAACCATTTTTCCATTCTAAAGTTGTGTAAGTTGTACAATAAAGCTTCTTACATACAAAGAACAATAAACCACCAAGGACATTTATATTTATACCTTTCTTTGCTGGTTTTATTCGTTTTGTAATGCATCTCTGTATCACTGATGTGTTACTTGTGTTAAATTTGGCTTCTATGCAAGATTTTCTCTGCACTCTACAGTACAACTGTTCTGAGGGGGTGCACCTGAGCTGTTCCCCTGCGTGTAACCTGTGGCCCACCTGCAGGCACTGCTGCAGTCACAGCACGGGCAGCTGGCACCCTTGATTCTGAAGGCTTCCCTTCCAGACTTGCAAGCCATGCTGCCATCGGCACAGGCACGAGGCAGAACACTCTGTGTCTGCAGTCATGCCCAGCCAGGCCTGCCCCCTTTCACATGAAAAGAGGCAGCATATTGGCAGGGACTGATGCATCAGGCTCTCACGACTGAAATTGCTAGTGTGATCAAAGAGCTGATGCCAGGGCACTCAATCAACTTCTAGAACATGCTGCTAAAACTAATAATCAAGACTGATTCTTCAAGCTCTACTTGCAGCAGCAGCTTGTCGTGTGTACCCCTTAACAAAGGCGGGTGCTGTAACAGGAGTGCTAGATACCCACATGAGATGTGTAGTGAGGGCATCCTGCAGGTGTAGAAAACTAATCTTTACATCTTCTTTTCCTGAGGATGAAGACTCTTGTTCTATGTCACTACTCTTTTGAGGGCAGTCCCGTATATTTAAATTTTTTCCCACTGAGAACAAGGAGAGCAAAGAACTCCTGGCTGGTGATGAGGGCCAGGAATTTCTGCCCTCATCAGTTACAGGACTGTCTGCTTGACTTGTAAGGAATGAGATGGGATAGTAGGAGTGCACTGTCAGTGTAACCCATCTGATCTTACCTGGGTCTGCAGTACCATATGTCTTGCAGGTTTGTCTCTTAACTCTTCTGGCCTCCAAAAGACACCAAGACTGACAACTATAAAAAAACAAAGATGGTTCCAAGTTGGAGAAATCTCTTCATTTACTTGCAGGAAGAAGGAGATACCTTAAAGCCAACAGTTTTCTGAGCATGTATCTATATCTGAACATATCTATGTATGTAGGTCTAACCGAAAGTTTGAAACAGAGAACTGCTGCTGCTGTGGGGAAGACAGCCTTGGCAGCCCATTCCAACAATCTTGTCTGAGCCATGCCAAACTTTTATGCTAATTTTGTGCATGCATTTTTGTAGCTTTTCTTGTCATTAGAATAAAAAAGGCAAGCCATATGCTTTCTGTAACCTAAGTCCACCCACTTTTGCTTGGTGGGTGTGAATACAGTAGGACACAAGAAAGAGCTATAGCTGAGGTAAGTTAGGCCTTTACTTGTCCAAAGAAACTACTGAAGAAGAACTAAATACGAAGAACATGGCAGGTGGCCACACTTCACAGGGCAGAGAAGCCTGTGGGAAATTTGCTGTTCCCAGCCTCCCTGGAGACTCATCAGTGGAACATGTAAGTGTACCAACCAATGCATGCCACTTCTAGAATTACTTGGTATTGGCCAACTATTTTTGCATAAGTAATCTTTTCATTTCATGCTATTGTAGAGAACACAATGCTTTTCTTCCACAACACGGGTCTTCCAGAGCCCATGCAAATGCAGGACCTTCAGTTTTAAAGTGATCATTTTCATCAAACCTATATTCAACAGGAGTAGTAGTTTATGCAGTAGGTATTCATAAGCTATGGAGATAAAGAGTGAGATAAGTGTAGAAAGATCTGCATCTTGATGACTGTAGTGCATTTTTTACTGATATTTGTATGATTTTTGTAGGACAGTGCACAGTAAGTGGTAGATTTTCAACATAAATTCATTTTGGAAATGAGTATTGAGACTGCAGCAGTGAGCATCTTAAAGTATCCACAAGAGGAGTTCTGGTTCTTATTTCTCACATTTTCCAAAGAGAATAAACTGGTGCACAAAGTTGTATGAATATTCAAGCAGAGTTATGACAAGAGGACGAGAACTCATTTAAAAAAGTGCTTGGCAAGAAGAAGTCTTAAAGATAAAATATTCTGCAGGAAATCCATTACATTAGACAAGTATCATAGAGAAACTTGGATTTTCAAATTTAAACAAATCCCAGGAAGCCCAGACATCATTTGTCTTTCATTTCTCACCTGCTTTCAAAGGGAAGAACTGCTAGCCTAGGCAAAACATGCAATGCTAAACTGGGTGCTGCTGAGACTGTGTCCCTGTCCCTTGATGGTTCTGCTCACAAAATGTGTATGGAGAGACCATTTTAGTGTTATTGTAAAATTATGGTAGAATGCCTCTGGCAAGGCCCTTCCCACCAAAACTATGCATACCAAATACACAAAGAAAACAATAAAAAAACAATGGCACAGACCAGTACTTCCACAAGAAAACAGCAGATTTTTAAGGGAAAAAACATTCTGAATAGAGAATACCTGCCTACAAAGCAAACTTGTTCATGTGCTTTAACACGGCAAGTTACTGCACACTCCAGAATATTCCAGTTTACTTGGGTTTTTTTAAGCATAAGAGGTATTGCAGATTCAAGTGCAAGTAGTGAACTATTTCAAATAGACATAAATGACAGGGAGCCTTTTATTCCAACTACTGCATCTGGATTCTAGCCAATCCCTCAATGAAACGTATAATTGGATAAATGTAGGTTATGGCATTAGTAGTATTCAAGTGCCTCTATTCTATTTGAAAAGGAAACAGTTTTTCTGACCTTTAAATCTCACTACAAATAAAGGAGCAATTATTTCTCAATAAGCGCATCTGTTGAAAATTAAATTAAATTTAAGAAAAAATCAATTACTATTTTTCTAGCTTTCATAAACCCCCCTAACTTGTCAGCTTCCTGAGGATCTGCCAAACCACCTGGTCTTGTGTCTATCCTTCACACTGTGAGACTCCCAGAGGTAAGGATCTCTCTTTATAAGTGGGGGAGGAAACACACATGGAAGTGTAAACTCAGGCAAATTTTTCATGTAAAAAGCAAGAGAGAGGGGATCTTTTTCAAAGCTGTGCTTAGAAAACCTTTTTAAGAAGCATAACACAAAGGTGCACTCTCGTATTATTTGCTGAAATTTTATCCAGCAAGTATGGGGTTTTAATAAAATATAAAAATTCTCGTAGTCACTGAAATCACAGAAATTGAGCTGCAAACAATCACCTCTCACTTATCCATTCCTGATATGGAGGTAAAAAGGCACCCTTTCCAGCACATGAATTTACTGGCATACTTTTTCACATTTCTGGACTAGTCCTTGTTACTCTGATGACATGTTTAAGCTGCCCTTTCCTCTCTGATCTATGCAGCAGATAATTTTTGCACAGCCTGTTTTCACTCTGCGCTCAGCATGCCCACTGGCTCTGCAGGAGTTCTGCTCGGGAAGTGAGAAGGAAAGCATGCACCACAGATCCACTAAGCAGACACCAGCCCACGTGTCTTGAAAGAAGGCATTAGGCTGAGGATTTTTGTGGGGCGTTTTCCTCTTTTTTATTCTTTTTAAATGACAAAACTGAAAGTTTTTTCACCCCTTGGTAGAACTACTTTAATTTAAACTTGAATTCTGGACAAAAAAGACTAACTTCATTCATTTTATTGTTATCCAGATTCAGGAAAAATTTTAACTTTTTTTTTTTTTTAATCAGGATATTTATTTTGTCAGTACTCTTCAAAATGAAAATCCCTCAACCACTCTAAGTCTGCACAAAAACTGTCAAGCTGGAATGAACTTCTGACACCATTACAGTATACTGAAATCAATATCGTAATCCTTTAAAATAGCCCACTCAAATCTATAGTATGTTTTCTGTATTATATGTTCAATTAATACATACAATTTATATATGCATATATATGTGTATATATACACATACATAATGTTAATGAAAATGATTGAACCACCTTAATTTTCCACGTGCATAGGGAAAAAAATATGCAGTTTGTCATTTAAGAAGGCAAACCATGGCAGCATCGAAACATACCCACTGGAGAAAATCAGTATCAACAGCTGAGCACTGCCACTACAAACACCAGCACTATATGTTTATCATTGAGAAGTCTAAGTGACAAAGACAGAATGATTTGGTCCTGTATTGCACAGTAATTAGATGCAATCACACCAAAATCTTTTCTTCATGGCTATGTTGTCTTCACCACTATTAAATTTTTGGAACAAAGCATCTATTTTTGCTGTAAAATCATTGTGTGAAAAAAGATAAGGAGAACAAACAGCATAAATTTACATGCACACATGAAACTTCTTGTTCCTTAAACATGTCAAAGCCCAAAAATCCAAAGGATGACTCTAAAAATAAGTCTCCTGTGCTCTATTATGTTTTGGATTAAAGGAACTAGAGAGGACGTTAAAGAAGTTAGTTATCAGAATCTTTTGCCAAATACAGCTTATGCTGAATGAAGCAATGTATTTCAAAAAAACTGTTTCCAAATCCCAAGTCAGGCTGCAAAAGAAAATTAATTTAAATATCTCAATCACCACTGCTGCATCACTCCCTGAGGAGAAGCTGCCACATTCCAGTGCAGCTGGAATTCAAGTGGCGGCCCCAATGGAGGGGTTATTGCAGGTTACAACACAGAGTCACTGGAAAAACAAAGAAAAACCCATGAATCCTCCTGGGCTCAACTTTCTTTTTACCCTGGTATTGGTGATGTTTTAGCAAATGAACTTGTCACTATATTTTATATAATATCTCTGTTATTGTCCACCTCTCACCAGTACCATATTTTTCCAAATATTTTTTTTCCAACAGTTTTACTTAAAACTGAGAATACAAAAAGAAAGGAGGGCTTGAATTGATATTTCACTTGTAACATCAAGCAAGAAATAGAATATTCCAAAACAACCTGTTGTTTAATATAATGCAGTAGAAGCCAAGCACAGATAAATATTAGGTCACTAATTTTTTACAGTCTTTTGAGTACTCTGGAATAGCAAGCCATGACTGTTAGGTCCCTGTGGTTTTCAGTGACTACAACTCATGCAGGGTGCTCAGCACTTCCCAAAGCTAAAAGTTAAGTTGCAGACCTCCTGTTGGAATATATATTTCAAGTCAACAGCCATCCAAATTTACCTGCTTATCACTGAAATGCCAGGCACAAATAAAAAGATGTATGGCTTCAGGATTCCTTCCTTGAAGGTGCTAGCAAAAGCTTTTTTATACCAGCAAGTGATTCAAGATAAGAAAATAAAACAGGAAAATAAAGAAGTACTTAGTATTTTTCTTAATGTTCTCTAGATATTATACATACAATCTTTAAACATAATCTAGATTTCTTCAAAAACTGCCTGAGCACTTGACACACTGTTTTTGAGGAGGTCTATATAAAACACAAGTTCCATGTGAAAATAACTGGACTGTGAAAAGATTAGAGACAGCAGATAGTTCTGAATGAATATCATACAGGCACAGAAAATACTCTTACTTGTCAGTATTGCTTTAGTTATATTTATGCTAAAAAAATTATGATATAGGCTTAATATTTTTATGGTAAGAAATACATGTAGGTGAGATTTGAAAAGTTCCATGAAATGTGCATACAGCAATCCTGTGCACAACATCCACTAGCCAGTGGTTTGTTATTGCTGTTGGAGAACAAGTAAAAATATCAGAAAGTAAAAAACTAAATAGCAACTGCTTGTTGCAAATATAATGTCCCATTCAGATTTTTAACTGAAAGCAAGTTGATTTGATCCTGATCTCTGTTACAGCCAAACAACTACAACTTCCCCAGAAGTGTGCATTCAATCCTACTGGAAACTCTGTAAATTAGATTAAAATCTGGGCCAATATGTGCATTAATTTAAACATTCATATTAGATCAAGTAAACCCTATGCAATAACAGCCCAAGAATAATTAATATTCTATCCACACATTTTTTCTTGGTGAATGTTAAATTACTATAGGTATAGGATCTGAGAAAGAATTTGTCCTTTTAGGTCAAGAAATCACATGAGAACTTGGCAGTGGAATAAATCTGTTGAGTCTTCTTTCTTTGAGTATCTCTCCCCACTCAAAAAAACTTTCAAAAATGAACCATGCTTTTTAAATAATGTTTTCTTATTCTGACATTGCAGCACATGACATGGGAAACCAACCATCAGCTGAGTAAATAAGAGAAAAATCAGGAAAAAATACTAGATAGACAATCAAAAACCTGTAATGAATTGTTACTATTCTCTCAAACCCAAACCAGCTGCATTACCTTCCCCCATCGCTATAAGGCTTCACAACCCAGTAGCTGCTAAGGCAAACTACTGAATCCCTCCACTTTTACCCCCACCAAGCCTTTACCAGGGGCTGCCATCTTTCCTCATTTAATTGCATTTCTTAGCTGGAAGATCTTTGCTGTGTGGTTACCATTTTCCCAGACAAGAATCAGGCAGAGCTGAGCAGACTAGTGCTGATGTTCTGATCCAGCAGAGCACTTGTGCAATTCCAGCCTTCAAGCAAACCAGGGGTCCAGCCAACAGACAGCCCGGGGCAAAAAAGTGAGTAATGGGATGCTTCAATGAGTCAGGACTCTGAGTCAGACAGACTGCAAGCTCCAGCAAACTGCAGTGAGATAACAGAAGACACGATTTAGCTAACTTTATGTAAAAGCTAGACTGTGTGTGTTTGTGAAGAAAAACAAAACTATTTTAAATATTTCATACCGTCTCTAATAAAGCTCCATTAGTAAATACTAAACTTTTCAAGTTTGATTGGCTTTTTTTTGTTTGGTTTTTTTTTTTACAGACACACATGTCTTATCAGACATATAGTTACACAATATCTGTGTACATTTCTTTATAAGACAGAACACTCCCAAGAAATTTAATGAAATGCAAGACTTTATTTTGAAACCAAAAGACAACAATATATGGCAATGACAATAATAATTATCTCTAAAGAAAAAATCAACCCACAGAACATTTTAAATTATAATAATTTATTCCCATCCAGTTGCTTGATATGATACTGTATGTCTGTACGAGGTTTAGCTACACTTTCAGAAAATAGTTGTGAAGAGAAGCATATCCCCTCAAATTTCAATGTTCATATGATCTGAAAAAAGAAAAGAAAAAGATGCTGAGCTGCTGTAAGCACAGTATTTTTTGCAAGAGGAAAATGAAATGGTTTGTTCTACTTAAAACTTAATATAGGCCCTCAAAATGGACCTGGAAATACTTATTTACTGGCTCATAAAACTATGAGAAATAACAGCCCTTTCATATCTGCATGTGGGCAAGTCTAGATTCTGTTAACCTCAGTAAACATCATCTATGTTTACATTCATTTGAGCTGGGTAGAGATTAGTGCTTCTTTCAAGAAACAGGCATTACTTATCTTTGAAGGAACATGAGAGTTTCCTTCATATATTTACATATATATGCAATATGCTAATAATTATGCTTTCCTGAAAATATATATAATTTAATGTATTACAGTAAATCTATATCACCGACTACAGTACCACAAGGAATGCAAAACTGAAATTGTGCTAAACCAGTTTCACACTATTTTATTTGCTTAGTCAGCACTACAAAGAATTTAAACTGTGTGTAGAGTGGGCAAAAAAATCAAACTACGTAAAGATTATGTATACATATTTAAATGTCCTTTAGAATTTAGAAAATAACAAAACATAGCCATGTAAATATATCTTATAAATAAAAATAAAACCTGACACTTCTCATACCTTAATCTGCAGATGTACTTGCCTTAAACTGGATTGCACTGGGATCTCCATTTCTCAATATAATTAGCACATTTAATCATGTCTGAAATAAGCAAATTATCTACAGAATACATTAAGCAAGTTTACAAATTCAATAAATAACACACCTTTTGGGCTATGTCCAGGACTAATTGCTTCAGACAGAACTGAGTCACCTTTGTAGGAAACAAATTAATTAGCTTCTTAGTAAAAAAATTTAAAAAATCAGGGACTGAAAATTCAGAATACTCCCCTCTCAAAAAAAGAATTTATATGCAAAAACCATCATAAAACCGAGATGCTTATTAACCATACAGATTTGAGTTCTAGAGTATTAAACATGACTCATCATCTGTTTCAGTCACTAGTGAAAACAGGTAATCTAAATACTCCATCATATTACTCTGACACACGTGATTTTGACTCAAAGATATTTAAATTATTATGTGATAAATGTTAACACATTCACCTTGTGGACTTCTACAGTGAGACATCCCATATGGAAATCCACTTAATAGTGAAAATCTCCTTCCTCTCTTGTGCAATAAAATTACCTCACAGTGACTGTATCTACAGTTACCTGCTCCCTTCACTACCCAATGGTCACAGTGCTTTCCTTGATTTAACACATCCCCTCTTAAAACACACTCATGATGGGAACTGGTAGTTGGGGCTGAGTCACGCTTGGTTCTGAATTTTAACTCAAGTGAAGGCAGCAAGTTACTGAGTTTTTCTCCCTGTTGGTTGCCAAAGAAGCCTGGTGGTGAAGTAATCAATCGTGCTACTCCTGCGTGAGATCAGGTTGCCCCTGGCAGAGGTGATCTCTGTGGTGCTCCCCATGAGCACCACTACCACCCTGCTCTCCTCTGGGCAGACCACTGTATTCCCTCACTCTGCTCCTCTGATGCCTGCATCTACATAAAGAGCAAAGACAGCTTCTGAAGGCAGCTGATAAATAACCTGCCAGGAAAAAAAAAAGCACCAAAACCACCCAATCTTTTCTACAGGTACTATTTCTATTTTCTTCCTGTAGAAGCTGTCACTTGAATTTCATAAGGGGAAAATAGTGCAGGTAAGTATGGATATCAACTTTGTCTGGCAGTGTAAAAACAGCAATAACAAGACTTCCTGCATTCTGACAGGCAGAATCACTTTGAAAAGATATTAAAATTCCTGTCATTGCAAAAAGATTAAGTACAATCAATCCAAGAAAATGTTGTGATCGTAATTATGAAATTATAACATAGTGGAGGGATCTTAGAATGTTCTCAATTACTGATGTATGTGAAAAAAAAGTTTCTCTAAATCCAGAACAGGTTACTAGTATAACAAATACCGATTGATGAACATAGTAAAATATGATGATTTCTAGTAAGATTAGATTCTAGTACTATAATCACAAATTTCATACTGTCAAAACTTTTATGAAAATAATGAACAATTATCACTATGTAATTACATATAAGTAAAGAACATAAAAATAGGAGATATTTGCACAATCATTTTATACCAGACAGCGAGAAAATTTAATTTTTTGCTAGTTAAAACCTATTTTTTTTACCAAACTAAAAGTAATTTATAGAAATTGTTCAGTATTATTAATTTTGGCATCTTACGTGTGTAAATTTGAACTCCCTAAAAGCAGTTTATTATCTTTAATATAGCCAGGTCATGTTTGCTTCTATATGACCGAGTTTACCTTATTAAAAACTTTCATTAAACACTAGGATTTTTGTGTGAATTTTTGTACCAGCTACTGCGAGAATATTTGCTCTCCAGAGAACAGTGAACATGACTTTCTACTACCAAAAAGGTAATCCATATGTGTTTTCAACACTGCTTTCCAGTTGACAGAATTAATCAACATCAGTGATATACTTCATAAAACTCCTAGTCAATTATTTCAGGGTAAGAATTTTAATAAATGTTCTGTTATTTTGTGTGTATTACTTTTGGCACAGTTTTATGTTTTCTAAAAGAACATTCTTGTCCCACCATAATAATCAGTGTGTATTGGTGCATACCTTTGGTGAGAACCTGCTTAGGTTTTTTCATTATAATCAAAAGCCTTTTCTAAAGGGCTGTTAAGAGTCTCACCTCCTTTGGTTTGCAGTGGTATGCTGGGAATGTCAGCCTCTGTGGATGGCTCATTGTTCATGCCAATGCAATATAATGGTTCACCCAAGAAAGAAGGTTTCTTCAATCTTTTTGTGTTGAGCACTCTTGACATAAAGTAACCTTCAGTAAAACTCTTATCTTCCATCTTCTGTAAACCTTCTAGGTCATCAGGTTCCTCTGTTTGGGCCAGTGAATCCTTTGATAAGTGACTACCAGCCAATGCTTTGCTGATATAGTAGCCAGGGATTTTGCTCTCTGCATTAACACATAAGCTTTTGTCTTCGAGTCCAGCCTTTTCCTGAGCCGTTAACATCCCTACAATATGGTCTTCAACTAACATTTTGGAAAGACTAGATGTGGAGTGAAGAGTGGAGTCTTGACTTGTGTAACAAGGGGGACTTAATCCAAAAGAAAGAGATTCCTGAGACTGTGGCATGGTAACGTTACTTATTGTTCTCTGAGGCCGCATACATTCTTCCAGAAGGGTCTTAAGCTGCTCTTCAGAGAGGCTCATTTGTTCTTCAGTCTGAAAAAAAAAAAAAAAAAAGGCAAGAATTTCTTCTGTCAAAATATAATTAATGAAAAGCAGTGCCATAAAACAGCTTGAGACATACACTGGCAGAATCCTTAAACAAATATCAATGTCTTTCAATTAAAACTGAATTTAAATATACATTTCCATAATCACAAAATTTATGCAGAATCCTCACTAGGTTCTAGATAGATTCTGTGATGAAAGTTAGGAAAGAAGCCTGATGTCCACAAGGCACAGAGAGGGCTTTGATTTTGCATAGTCTTCCATAAGATCTGACTGGTTTTTAATTACCAGAGTATGCACTTTTTCATATTTCTTGGTTTGCTGTGAATATGTACACACACACACACAGACACTCTTTAAGATTTTAGTTATTGAAAACAAAATAGCATGTTCCTGCTGGGGCAGTGGCTGGGGGGGGTCATGACTGTTGGGGCAATGCAGCTGGGGTTAGAAATGGTTTTGGACAGCACCAGCCCACAAAGACTGTCACATACTGACTGAAATATTCCCAGCCTCTCACGGTAGAAATGCCACATAGTCTCTCTCTCAACCACATGACACAAAGCACATCACTTACCTACCATGGCAAGCATGACCCATGGCAAGTGGGTCATGACAGAAGAAAGCTCTGCCTTCTGTAGGACAGTTTTAGTGCTTCATTCAAGCTGTCACTGCTTGCATAGCTCACAGATGTACCTTTTCACTTAATTTCTTATTCAGAGACTGGCACACTCCCATCATTTTTATCATACAGGACATTTCTTAAAATTTTATATTATAGACAATGACTGATATTAGCTGGTTATGGTGAAGAATAGAAAACTTTGCTTAAGGATAACAATAGGGAGTTACTTCCAGCTTTTATAATCCTTAATGCTTCTGAAAACAGAGTAGCAAAATTTAAAGATGATAATGATAAGGATAAGACTATTTTGCCCATGAAATAGGAGTTCTAGAATATATTAAAATGTTATAGATATTAAAGATATTATAGATATTAAAATGTTATATAGAAGATATTTAAAATATTGGAAAAGCTATGTAACATTTAATAGAGAAAAATGCTTTCTACGATGAAAATCTCAGTTTTACACAATGTCCAAGATGCAAAGGATCAGCTGACACGTTAATGAACCCTTAAGCTACGGTGATTTATGTAAAACAAAAATTTTATTCACTGTGTAATGACTTCTACAGAGAATTTACTTTACATTGTGCTAGAGGATAGAGCTACTGTCATTTCAGAGGAGAGATCAATATCAGTTGTTTAGCTGATATTTTTTTTCCCTGAAGGTCTCTGATCCAACTTCAGGAGTCATATTATCCTGTTTGATATATATCACATGACTTGCCTACAGCCAAGGCACCACGGGGTGTATGGATTATGTCTGAAAACTGATTACTCCTGTTCATCAGTGGGGACAGTTTTCAGTCAGGAAGGAAAGAATATTTCTTTGAAAAACTTGTGGCTATTAAATATTACAAGATTACACTAAAAAGTGAACAAGGATGACATTTTAAGTAACCTTCAGTCACCATTCTGTACTTACATATTCAAACATTAATAATAGCTAATAATCACTGCTACAGACTGAATCTTGTACAGTTCAGGCACTAAATGAGGTGCATAAATGCAGATCTATAGAGTTATTTAACCCAATAGTCTTTTCTGCAGATATCAATTTCCTTTCCAAAAATACTCCAGGTTTCTTTATTGCACATAGAACTGCAACTGCATTAAAGAATTTAAGATGTTAAGGGCTGTTAAAATCTTAAAAGAGCATTGACAGACTATTATTATGGGTAGAGATCTTTATTTAGAGGAACATATTATCAGGTAATTATATTGAGATTCAAGTAATCTTGGTATCAATCTATGTAGTTTTGATAATATTAACTGAAATCAAACCACAAGTTTAAGAGCTTACATAGGAAACATGCAAAATATTGCATCTTCAAACTTGACTTAGTCTTCTAAATTTTAATCATAGTGTAGAAAATACTCACTGATGAAATATAACTCAGACATGGAAAAAAATTAGTAGCAAAACACTATCATGAATCAAAAATGAAACATGAAATGTTTCATTTCACTTTTAATCTAAATTACTAGACCATGCTGAAGTCCTTCAATTTATTGAAAAAGTATTTTATTTTGCAGGATAACATTTGTTTCCAAGCAGTGATTATCAGAATGGACTCACTGTAAGAAACAAGATGCATCCACGCAGGAAGAGCATAACATCAGAGACACTACTGGAAGCACAGCTACATCGAGAGTATATCCACAGAGCAGATTATACTGTGAAAACATTTTTAACACAGAAGATTCTCACATCTGGAAACCCACATGGATTCCCACATGGTTTTGAGTGTGTGGTTCTATACTAACATCTTTCAAACCTCTTGGCCAAGATCATTTGGAGCTAATTTTATGTTAATGACAGGGCAATTCACTCACTACAGAAAGGAATTATGTATATGAAGCAAATGAATGATCAATACAAAATTAACATTGTGAGGAAGATCATCTTGTCCTGCCTTTGGTCTTTTTATTTCCCTTATCCCTCCCAGCCATTTATTCGCAATGCATTTTCCCTCATCCAATTTTTTTTTTTTTCTTTCTTTCAGGAAAATCATATGGCTTGTATTCATAGATTACCTTGATTATTACCAGAGGGGTAAGACTTGGAGCCTAAGGGATATGGTGAAGGAAATGAATATAATAACTATGGAGTTAAAAAGTTTGGGAACTAGTGAGCTTGATTTTCTCCAGTGGCAGGCCTGCAGCCAAAGCAGACAGTGTAAAACATTTCTTTGTTCCTCCCTTTTTCTTTCTCTTTATTTCTCATTTTCTCCCTTTGGATTTTTTGTAAGACATGCATGTAAAGATAAGGAAAGTATTTAATAAACCTCTCCAAAAATCATGTTTTGAAATACTAAAGACTCACTGTTATTTTCTTTTGCCAAACTCAGGAGATGACTATAGGCTTAAGGAAAAATACACAGTGGAGAAGAAGATAAATAGCCATCAGTCATCCACTCAGCAGCCAGGAATTTACATTGAAATGAAAGCAGCAAGGCTGCTGTTAAAATCAGGAAATAGTTTAGGGAAATACTATTGGGAAAGATATCTCACAGCAAAAAAGGCTGTGCATTTGCAACCAAATGAGCATTTCAACTCATGGAATTGCATAATACAACAACTGCATTAGGAGTCTACAGAGTATATATTTGCACACATCAGAAGCAATCCAGTCACAACCAACTGTAACAGTTCAGAGCCATGACTTGGAATCAGAAACACAGTCTCAGGGAGACACTTGATTCTACATCTCCCAAGCTTTCACTCCCCTCATAGTAAATAATTTACAACTCCTATACAGAATAAATACTTCAAGACATTTTTTAAAAATACAAGGACATAAAATGAGTGTCATTCAAAATGCAGAAACAGCCCACTAGGCAAGGGAAAATGAGGTATCAGGTCTGGTTTCCATTAAAAAGTAGAAAACCTTTTAATTGTTCTGGCTAATTTTTAATAGGACACTGAGTCCTATTCATTTCCTAGGCTTTTTTACCGCTAATGATCCAAAAAACTAATTCCTAGCCAGGAGTTTAGGAGCCTGCTAATGACCTTTACTGTTTATGTGTGGTTAGCTTTCCACACACTTGTGGCCCTCCTCTGACTGAAGATTTCTTGTTCCTTGCTGAATTCCTCCGTGACAGGAGTCTATAGAGAAAACCTTACTGCATGTAGTAGGAATGCAAACTTGTAGTTCGCTGTGGACAGCCCTGCTGTGACTACAAGTTTTCAAGTTCAAATCTTTAGGCTTTCTTTCTACATCTCTACAGTAACACAAATAGACTAACACTGAAAGCCTGTATCAGATTTTGCCATGGGGAGAAGGCTAACATATCAGGATTATTTCTAATTATAGCAAATAATAAAAAAATGACACATAGTAAAAGAGTAAGCACTACAAAGTCAGGATATTTAAGGACTCGTATAACTTGCATATCTATAAACATGGAAATTTTGTTCCTTAGTCTGAAAGTGCTGCACTCAATAGTTCACATGATAGTTTGTTTCAAACAATTTACTCTGATGCTTAATTTGCTGACAATTTTTACTAGTGTGTGAGACTGCAACAGTCAATTCTGAGGTAGCTACTTTCTTCCTGATAAAACTACTCCATTTTAAGAGAACACTACTCTGTTGAGACAAAGTTCAGATTTTTGACAGATCAGCCCAGGGAGGTTTTGTAAGTTTTAGTTATTCAATAACTTATTGACAGTTTCTCAAACAGCTCAATTCTGCTTTGAAAAGGCAATCCTTGCCTTCTCTCTCCACATTACTCAACTCAATGTGGACCATCAACTCCAAGGTCTCATCACACCCTAGCATCATGTATTTGTCTACAAACAGTACTGGTCAGTGCAACTGTGAAATATTATCAATATGCTGCATACAAGCCACACACATCATATCATTGTGAAAGACCTTAAAATTTCCAGAAATGTTGAAAGCCCAAAGTTTTTTTGCACCACAGAAGTCAGTTTGGTGCTCACAACTTGTAAACTGATTGAATTAATGTAATACGTCCATTGTGGATTAACCCCAGCAGGAAACTAAGCACCACCCAGATGCTTGCTTACTTCCCATCCCCTCACCCCAGTGGGGAAGGGTAAGAGGAAAGGAAGAGCAAAAAGAGTAAAGGAGAGGAAGAGTAAAAGCAATAAAACTTGTGGATTGAGATAAAAATTGTTTAATAAGCGAAGAGAGAGAAAGATAACAAAACAACCAATGCAAAGGCAATCCACTCAGCATCTCCTATAGCTAGACCAACAACCAGACAGTTCTGAGCAAAAAATGGTTAACTTTGTAGAACCCTCTCTTCTCTCTTTTTATTACTGTGCATAAGATTATACACTGACATTCCCCCCTCCTCAGCCCCCTGAATTATCAGGCTAGCCCAGAGATCCGA